TACATTCAATTGATAAATATGGAAAAGCAAACTCTGGGCCTGAGCGCTGTCCCTCAGCTCTTCAGCTCAAGGCTAACATTCTCCCACTTGAACCACAGCGCCACTTCTGGCTTTCTAATGGTTCATTGGAGATAAGAGTTTCATGAAGTTTCCTGCATGGGCTGGCTTTGAACCATGATCCTCAGATTTCAGCCTCCTGAGTAGCTGTGATTACAGGCATGAGCCACCAGCGCCCCGCTCATACTAAATCTTAATAGCCTAAGATGGAATGATTAAAAATTAAATAACACTTTGAAATGATTTTTTTTTGTTGTTGTTGGTCATGGGGCCTAAATTCTGGTCCTGGATGCTGTCTCTCAGCTCTTAAGCTCAAGGCTAGTGCTCTACCACTTGAGCCACAGCTCCACTTCTATTATGTGGTGCTGAGGAATTGAACCTAGGGCCTCATGCATGAAAGGCAAGCGCTCTACCACTGAACCACCTTCCCAGCCCCTGAAATTATATATACGGTCAAGTGCTCTGCCACTTGAACCATATCCTCAGACCTTTTGCATTTAGTTTGATTTTTCAAATAGGGTTTCAAAATTTTGCCAGACCAGCCTTCAACCATGATCTTCCTACCCCTGACTTCAGAGTAGTTGAACTTACAGACATACATATGATATTAAACAAAAATTATAGTTTTAAAAATAATTAAAACACAAAATGTACAAAAGTTAATAGGTCCCACTTTTCCTTGTATGAGAAGAATTTGCATATTAAAGTTGTGGTAGAATTTCTGAAAATAAGAATGATGAATAGAAGGAGAAAACATGATAAAGTACCTTTTATGAATGTATGGAAATGTCATCATGAAAGCCTCTTTAATGATTGATATATGCTCACAATATACAAAAAGTAGATAAAATTCAGTAACAGTAAAGATCTAGGGAAAAATAAACAGATGCATTCTTACTGGTGGAGGATGTAAGCAGTGGTTTACTTCCTTTACTCTGTGTCCTAATAAAGTGGATGTGAGTATCAGCAAGGAAAATGACATTCAAGTGGTACAGTGGAAATGGGGGCAAGCAGGGGGCACGGCCCCGTAGATGACAGAGGGTTTGCCCCAAGAATACCAGGGATCAATTACCAATACTTGGGTAGCAAGACTACTAGGCTTGGAAGGAATTGGTAGGGCTTTAGGGTCTGTTGAAGATACTGAACACTGAGTAAGCAAGCTCAGGGTCTAAAGGTAAGAAAGAAATAATATGCCTGATTTAATGCTTTACTGAAGGAAGTTACCTTGCCTTAATTATTACCATGATGATGAGTCTGCATATTTTGCCTATAGTCGTCTCACTATTAAGCTTACGAAAAGTTCATGACTTCTTTCCTATGTTCGTGGAAGGAATTTTCCAGAGTTATTTCTACCCCCCCCCCCCCCCCGGGCCTTACGTTCTTGTTTGTCTGTTTTGCTCAAAGCTGATGTTCTACCACTTGAGCCACACTTCCACTTCTGGCTTTTTGGTGGTTAATTAGAGATAAGACTCTCATGGACTTTCCTACTGGATCTGGCTTCAAACCATTCTCCTCAGATCTCAATCTTTGATTAGATAGGAGTGCTGGTGTGAGCCACCAATACCCAGCTATTCCTCCCCCACTTAAAAGTAGACAAAAGTACCAGTGATTTGTACTTTAGCATAATTGGCATTACTTTTCATCAATATTTCACAGGTAATAACTAATACATAGGTAGTAATATTTCAAAGAAGTTATAGAACACAACCTAGAGAATGTCAAATAAATATGTAATTGACAATGCAAAAGGAAGTAGCCCTCAGAAGTTTAGTTGTACTGAATCAAGAAACAGAATGATTAGATCTTTGGAGGTTGTGGAAGTATATCTTCCCTGATACATTCAAATTCTCTGCTTTGAGAATATAATGAATAAAGATAACTCAAAATAACGTTTCCATGTATTTATATATAAAAATATGTGAATGAATTGCTAGCCAAACTACATTATGTTCAGTGAAGGAAGATTTAGTAGAAAGCGTTTTTCAAAATGTTATACTACCCCAAGAAGTATTTAACAAATTCATAAATTCAAAATGAACTTAGTATTGGCAATCAAAATATGTGTGAGGCACAGTTCTATGTATCTTCTGAGGCAGAATTCTATATATAACCAGAATCATAGTTCATGACCTTTGTAAACTTAGAGATACAAGCAACAAAATATATAAAACATGCAATATATTCAGAGCTTTGATAAAGCTGCAGGATCCTGGGACAAAGCCAGCAAGTTGCTTGGGTATGGAAAACGGTGGAACAATAGTGGGGCAATGCTCAGAGAAGATTTTATGGTCAACAAGCAGCAGAGGCTGACACTCAAGGGGTGATTGAGGCTACTCCACACAAGAAGAGGTGAACATTGGATGAAAAACACAAGTAGATGAAAGAAAAGTAAGAGCAGAAGTTGGGAAAAAAAAGTGGAAAACTTGGACTCATCTTAAAGTAATGAGAAGATTTTACGTGGAAAGTTTCTGGGTGAAATAGTTTTTGTAGTTGAAATATGCAAGATGGATTTAGCCAGAGTAGAATTGGAGTTAGGAAAGTAGTTGTGTGTGTGTGTGTGTGTGTGTGTGTGTGTGTGTGTGTGTGCATATGCTTGTATTGGGGCTTGAACTCAGAGTCTTGGTGCTATCCTTTAGCTTTTCTGTTCAAAGTTGGCACTCTACCACTTGGGCCACAACACCAACTCTACCTTTTTGTTGGTTAATTGGAGATAATGGACTTTCCTGCTCAGACTGGCCTTGAACCACAATGCTCAGGTCTCAGCCTCCTTAGTAGTTAGGATTATTGGTCGGAGCCACTGGTACCAGGCGTGAGGCAGCTTTTGTAGAAGTGAGAGTGAAACATAATGGATCAAGCCTAGGGTAGTTGCAATGGGAAAGCAAAAGACATGACAAAAGATTGCAGTAATGGGTGATATCATTAAGTAGATATTATTCATTGGATTTGGGGCTATAAAAAGTGGATAGCTTAGGAAACACTGGGTGTGAAATGAGTCTAACAATGCTACAGAGGGAAGAAGCAGATTTGGCATGTAAAAATAGGTTATTATTTGAATGAGAGCAGGGAACAAGCCAGATGATAAATCTTCTATGGTTATATTGGATTCGAGATCCATGAAGCTTTGTGTAGTCATTTATTATTTAACAAACTTTACTGAGCACCCATCAGCTGAGGAAATAGGGGAAAGTGGGTGCTGGGTATGCAGACACAAGTTAAATGTGACGTAGTCTATGTCCTCCCTTGTCACTCTATTCTCTACCCCATATCCCTGCAAGCTGCTCTCTTTCTCATTAGATGAACACATGGATAACAACCAGGATGTTCCATGCGCTCAGGAGAAAGAATTGGAAAGGGAAAAGTTAGAGAGGGAAACATAGACTCTAGAGTTCAGCCTCAACATAAGCTTTTCCAGAACCATTTTAATATACATTTCTCTAGACATAACACTCTCTTAAAAATACCTATTAAAATGTTGTTGCATGGCTAAACTTATGTTTTTATTAACTCAGTAACTGTTGCAAAACTGTGAATAAAGAACAATTCAACTACTTTCTATTGACTGTACAATTGGATGAGTCTTACATTCTTCAGTCGCCTCCTTTTGCACTTAAAATCAAATTCACATGCGTTGTCAGCAATTTCTGTTTTATTTTAAAATAAATATCTATATTAAATTGTAAATATTTAACATATACCTTGTATTTATTCTTTAAGTTTTTAATTTTAAACTATTTTTAAATCCTTGTATAAAGGGATTTCAATTCAATGTCCCAGTTTATGAGTAAAATGCATCTAAATCAATGTTGTCCCTTTCATCATTTTCTCCCCTCTCTCCCAATCTGCCTTTGATTTTTGTACATGATCTGTGCCCCATCCACCATGTCTACGTTATGTGTTACTCACTTCCCATAATGACAAGATTCACGTGCACTGTCCTTTCTGTTCTGTGACACACTGAGCTTTTGACTGTCTCCTTAAAAAAAGCCTCTTAGAGTCACTTATCTAAAGTAATATCCTTCATTCTCAATCTAGTTCCTCTTCATCCTGTCCCCTGATATTTGCTGTAATGCTCACAATTTTCAGTTACGTTTATCACATATGTTTGCTTATTATTCATTTAGTCACCTGTATCAAAATATAAGGTCTTACCTCTCATTTTCATGCTTCAATCCCCAATATCAAGAGTAGTACATAGTTTGTTTTTGAAATGTGAAAAGATATCCATTGTATGAATGAAAAATTTTATAGGGGATAATCTTTAAAATGAATAATATCTAATTATGGAGAAAATCAACAGGGATTTTTATCCTATGGAGGAGGTACCAAATATTATATTGACAGAAGAATCAATGAGCAAGTAATAAAATTAGGGTGGCATATGCCTGAAAGACTTGTAAATAATTTTCATATAAGGCCTTGTTGAATAAACAAGAGACTTAATAGTGTGCTTAGTCACAGAGTCTATAACTGACCTATGGCATTCACATATTCAAAAGTTAAACCACAATCAAGAACATAGAAGATATATGGGTGCTAGTGGCTCTTGCCTATAATCCTAGCTACTCAGGAGGCTGAGATTTGAGGATCGTGGTTCAAAGCCAGCCTGGGTGGGAATGTTTGTGAGAATCTTATCTCCAATAAACCACCAGAAAAACAAAGTGTTTCTGTGGCTCAAGTGGTAGAATCCTAGCCTTGAAGTGAAGAGGTAAGGGACAGTGTCCAGGCCTCAAGACTGACCAAAAAAAAATAAATAGAGAGAGAAAGAAAAAAAACAGAATATCTAACATGTAAATGCAGTGGCTTTAACACACAAATAAGGGAAGAAATAAAAGTCTGGAAAAAGTCAAGGCAAAGGATTAGATAATACAGTCACTTAGTTGTAGGGATGTTTGACATTTGGAAAGCAAAAGCTACATGACCTACTATCCAACGACTGCACTCACCGTGCATGGTGTCTGCATCCATGGCTCACCATCGATCTGCATGGGCAGGGACTTGCTCGTCCTACGGGAAAACAGTTCACATTAGCTCAAATACAAACCATGTAATCTACCAGACTTACATACAAAAAGAGGACATCAGGCAAAACAAATGTGTGGTTTTGCTAAGCTCACTGTTAATGAATATCCTGAAAGGTAACTTGGTCACAAGAAATGCTAACAAAAATTCAGAAAACCAAAAAAAACATGTCAGGCTTTATATTCCAGGCTTTATATTCTAGAATTCCTACAGCCGAAGGATACCCTTGTATGCTTATTGTGTTACAAACTTGGAGACAAAAGCTGGGCACCCATGAGAACCCTGGCCAGAAGTAAAAACTTAGTATTGATACACACACTCACAAAACAAATCCGAATTAAAGAAGCCAATGTTTCAGATTTCCAGGACCCAATACTTTACAATAAGTAACATCTATTATGTGTGCCCTACAGTATGTAGTTTCACTTCAGATTCAGCATGGACTTTTAAATTTCTTCCTTACAGTTAAACTATTGGGGGGAGGGAGGGAAATATATGGAAAGTTTCAAATATAATATATGAAAAGATTTACAAATAAACTATTGGGGGGGGGGAGGGAAATATATGGAAAGTTTCAAATATAATGTACGAAAAGATTTACCAAACAATAATTCAAACAATTCACCAAAACATTATGCTGTACTTTAGTTCATGTGAGAAATTAAGTTCATTGCATCAATAAATTTTACTTTAGAGAATTTGTCCATTATATACTTTGGCGCTTCAGGAGACAAAATGACTGAATAAAGATAGAAGGGATTAATATGCATGGTAGCTTTGGTGTATCACCATAGCTGTGGTAGTCAACAAGAGAGAATCATACTCCACACAGCCTGATGGAGAAATGTCTAACCAATACTTGGTATTGCCATGTCCATGGTTTTGGAATCTATAAACATTGATTATTGGTTATATGAAGCAAAAATAAGACAAGTGTCCCTATCAGAGTTCTACAGTGTTTAAAGTAGTTTGTAGGTAAGTCAGAGTATTGCTCCCTACTCCTTGTCAAAAACAGAGAAAGAACTACCTGACGACTACAGAAGAACACTGAGCCAGCCTCCGGCCAGCACTTTTCAGTCCTGTGTAGATTTGACCCATCTCCATGGCTCCTTCCAAACCAACCACTTCCAGAAGCTGGTCACTCAAGTCTGAAAGAAAACAGATGCTGGGTCAGTTACAGTGATGTGCATATGCCCTCATGTGATTGCCGTCTGATATTACAGAAATAATGAAAGCCTCATCATAAGCAAAGCCTCTGTCTCTTTGTTTTTCCTCCCCCAAGCTTAGGGTTTAAACTCAGTGTCTCATGCTCGCTCAGCTTGCTCACAACTGGTGATCTACCACTTCATCTGTGTCACCAGCCTGGCTTTTTGCTGATTAATTGGAGATTAGTCAGTCAATTAATTAGTTGGAGATTAAAGTCTGAGTCTCACAGATAATTTTATGGTCTGACTTTGAATCTGGTTCCAAATCTCAGCTTTCTGAGTAGCTAGGATTACAGAAATGAGCCACCAATACCTGGCTTAGAAAACTTCTGTCTTGAAAGCTGAAAGTAATGTAAAGATGGCATACCCCTGTAGCTTCCATTTTAACTAAACCTATGCTACTCTGGAAAATGATTTGCTGTCAGCTTATTCTAAAACAAGTGGGAAGAACAAATTCTGAGCCAATAATGCCAAAAAACATACCAATAGCTTTTTAACATCAACACACTTAAACGTTATTCCACATGTATATATGGAACATTTATACATCCCACATCAGACATTTGGCAGCAAATACACATCTCATCACTATAGATAACCGTCTGAGGAGACACTGTCAAACAGGATTTTGTGAAGTTACCCGAGAATGAGAAAGCTTGGAGATCACAGAGTTGACGCTTCTTATTCTATATGTTAGATAAACAATCAAGTGGCTTATCCATAATCAGAGAAAACTTTGTATAGAAGTTTAAAAGACAATAATTGTTTCTTGAAATGCTTTCCTGATATTAATTAATAATTTTCTTGCTGGGCGCTGGTGGCTGGTGCCTGTAATCTTACTATTCAGGAGGCTGAAATCTGAGGCCCTTGGTTAGAAGCCAGTCAAGGCAGGAGAGTTCATGAGACTCTTACCTTCAATTAATCACATAAAGCCAGAAATGGAGATGTGGCTCAAGTGGTAGAGTGCCAGCCTTGAGCACAAATGCCCAGAGTTCAAGCTCCAGGACTGACAAAAAAAAAAGAAGGAAAGAAAAGAAATATATTTCTAACATAGTAACATTTAGGAATGAGTTAGAAAATTAACACCATACAATTAGCAGTAGTAATAATAAAAGATTCTAGAAAGGGGCCAGTGAAATGGACATCATTTGTTAAGAGTTTATTAAGTACTTGTCACAGGGTTAATTATTTCCTACTTATTAGTTCCTCTCACCCCAAGATCAAACTAAGAAAGACAGGATTATCCCTAATTGCAAATTAGTGACTTCTTTTTTATGTTCACATACCAAACAAGTGATAGCTTCAGAATTTGAACCTGACCATCGTCCAACATGATGCTGTTAGCCTTCCATTACCCAGTGGGATTTTAAAAAGATATACTAAAACTTAAAGAGATGTTTTTACATAGAGATAGAAGTTGGATTGTGCGAGTTTCAAGATCCCTTTCCAATCTAAAGTTTTTTTTACTCAGTCAGCAGAGGTTGAACTGGCATTAGTACTAACAACCCCAGAGAACCTTGTCTCAAGACACAGTGAAGACCTGCTTGCTCACAAACTTGATTCAGAATCCTGACATCATGATTTGAAGGCTGAAATCTGAGTGATCACACAGAATACCTTTGTCTTTTATATATCTATATACTTCCAGTGTTCTTTCAAATGTAAATAAGATCTGGTTGATTTTTTTTAATGTTTTTAGTGATACTGAGATTTGAACTCCAGTCATGATTAAACTATATGGTAGAAGCACATTCTAAAACCTCAAAACTCATAGATCATAACCACTGGAAATATTTACTATAAACACAAAACCAGAATGCATATGGAATGTCTGAACAGGCCTTCAGAGACTTAAGTGAATGATAGAAAACATGATTGAAAAAAATTTTTTTAGCTATAGCAGCAGCATGAGGTTGATCCAACTAAACATCTTTCAGTTACAAGATCAAATGTCACCAAGTGGTAGCTTAGAGCATACACCTTGGTACACTAGCCCTTATTAAGACTTATTTTACATGAAGCTTATTCTGTGTTTCTACTTTAAATTTATGTTGCCAAGAACAGATGGACATGGAATAGAAACATATTCTTTCAGCTGTAGCCGGCACTAAAATGTGCTTGGCTCTGCAGCCTGGGTGTTAATATACTCATTTCTTAGGTATATGTCAACCAGAAAACGACATTGTGACAAGTACTAAATCCCCAGATGTGTGCCTGGTAATACTTATAAAACAACATCCACACCAGCACAACTACAGAATTGAAGTACACATATGCTGTTGTGGGGTTTGTACTGCCAGATTTCTAAATAGGTGAGATTTCAATGTAGTTTTTGTTATGGTCTGAGGCTGGTTGCTGGGATCTGTTTTGTAAGAAATGAAACACTTTCTCTGAACAGAGTTAATCTGTGAGCCCTAACTTCTCCATGATTCACAGGAATTTGTCTACACCCACACCATATTGCTACTGTCTACCACCCTCCTTCTGACTATTTTTTCTTTCTTTCTTTTAATTGATCTTTGTTTTTCTCCCTTTAAAAATAACCTAAAAATCAAGTCAATTATTAATAATCAAAAAAGAGCATGTGTCTTGTGAGTTTAGAAGACCTAGACCTTCAAACTTTTGTTTTCTTGCTGAGACAAATAAAAGTTTTGGAATGATGGAAAGTTTACAAATACTGAAAAAGGTAAATACCAGTCCAGTGTATAGAAGGAAATAAAAGCAAAACAAAACCCAAAGCTCTAAATTTGTGCTGTGCAAATTTGTTCCTGTAGCATATAAACAACCAATGCCTCCTTTGTCCTATTTTTTGCAACCTTGATTGATTTCAGACAAAGAATTTCTATTTGTAGCACTATCTATGTTTCTACCTATCATGTGTGTGTGTGTGTGTGTGTGTGTGTGTGTGTTCATACAGGAGCCTGAACTCATTATTGGGCATTGTCCCTTAGGTTTTTTACTCAAGGCTGGCATTCTATCACTTGAGCCACACCTTCACTTAACACATTTTTGGTGGTTAATGGGATGTAAGGGGTCTCACAGACATTTCTGTCCAGGCTGGCTTCAAATCATGACCCTTAGATATCAACTTCCCAAGTAAGCTAAACATGAACCATTGTACCTGGCTTATCTATATATTTCTGAACTCTTGTTTTTGAATATAGTATTCTCTGAAAATATCAAAGACTTCTTTATTTCACATTTTAGCTAAATTTTTGCTTAAGTGCATCTTTCCTAGCAATATCTTAACCAAATATATTTATACACTTTATCAATTTGTGACATGCCTGTTGGTAATATACTTAAGAACAGGAGTAACGAGCAGGCATCAGTGGTTTCAGTCTATAATCCTTGCTACTAGAAGGCTGAGACTTGGAGGATGGAGGTTCATAGTGAGCCTGGGCTCAAAAGTCTGTGAAACTCTACCTTCAATTAACCTATAAAATGCAAGAGTCAAAATGTAGCCTTAGTGGTTGTAAGTGAGCAAATGGAACAAGAGTATGAGGCCTGAGTTCAATCCCTGGTATTGGTGCATGTACACACACACACACACACACACACACACACACACACACACACACACAAAGAATAGCAAACTATAGCTCTATGGACCAAATATACACTGCTGTGTATTTTGTGTAGCTTATGAACTGAGAAGGCTTTTTTATTTTTATTTTTGTCAGTCATGGGGCTTGAACTCTGGGCCTGGGTGCTGTCTCTGAGCTTTTCAGCTCAAAGAGAGCACTCTACTACTTGTGCCACAGTACCACTTCCGCTTTTCTGACGGTTAATTGGCGATAAGAATCTTATGGACTTTGCTGCCCGGGATGGCTTTGAACTGAGATCTTCAGATCTCAGCCTCACCAGTAGGTAGGATTATAGGCGTGAGCCACCAGCACCAGGCTGGGAAGACTTTTTATAAACTTAATGAGTAAAAAAAAAATATAAGTATTATGACATGAAAATTACCTGAAATTCAAATTAAATCTAAACTGATACACAGAAAACATTCATTTATAAAAGTTTAGTCTATGTGTGCTTTGGCATTATGGTGGCAGAATGGAGGACTTGTGATCTCAATCATATGTTTCTCAAACTCCACTGTCTTGTTTTAGATACAACAAACAAGCAAACAAAAAACTAGGCTTTATTGGCTCTTGCCTGTAATCCAAGCTACTCAGGAACTTGAAATCCTCAGTTCATGGTTTCAGGCCAGCCCAGGCAGACAAACCCAGGAGACTCTTATCTCTAATTAATCAATAAAAAGTTGAAAGTGGAAGTATGGCTCAAATGGTAGAGTGCTAGCCAATGGAAAAATAGCTGAATGGGAGCATGATTCTTGGAGTTTAAGCTGTAGGCACACACACACACACACACACACACACACACACACACACACACACACAGACTTTATTTTAATTGTGCTGTGGTAAGTGTTCAATGGCATCACAATGTCCAAGTTCTCATTTCACAATGCTTGTGTCCATGTGATAGAGCAGTTGTTTTCAGCCATCACACAGTCAAGTCAAGACCTCCCACCATCCATTCGTTAAAACGGTGAAGTTTCCAAATGACTTCACTTCAAAATGATTAAGAATGGTTTAAATTCTGGGCTGGGAAGATGGCTCAGTGGTAGAGCGCTTGCCTTGCATGCATGAGGCCCTGGGTTTGATTCCTCAGCACCACATAAGCAAAAAGAAAAAAAAAAACCGGAAGTGGCGCTGTGGCTCAAGTGGTAGAGCACTAGCCTTGAGCTGAAGAGCTGAGGGGTAGCGACCAGGCCCAGAGTTCAGGCCCACAACCGAACCCCTCCCCTATAAAAAAAGAATAGTTTAAATTCAATCTTTGATCCTTGTTACATTCACATTGAATTTCTTAAGCATGAGGAAGCGCAGTAGAGATAAGGAAGTGAGTTTCAGTGAGACCTGAGGTCTGGATGTGAG